GTGTAGGGGCAAGCAGGATCAGAGGAATCATTTAAGAATCATACTTAATTTTGACCAAGAGCCCTACATGTAGTGGACAGGACAAATACAGTAAAATAGTCCCCTGTTGGGCACTGAACTATGTGCATACCTGGCAAAACAGAGTTATTATGGCTGTACTACATTCACCGTTGCCTTCTTCAACCAAAACTTCCCTTGTAGCATGGGCCAAAGCCTTTTGCCTTTGTAGGGCTTTCCAGCCAACACTATTATGTCATTAAACAGAAAGCATCACATTTAAACATTGAAATTAGGTTTTGCTAGCTTCCAAGCTTGGTCAGAGAAAGAAAAACACCACACCATTACTTTATTGCAACACAATGTTTCAAATAGAACTTTAAAACCTTTCCTAAAGTCCCTGTTTTAAGAAACACCACATCATGACTTTCCATGCCGGCAAAGCATGCAAGCTATTCTTTGTGAAAGAAATCTGGAAGTAAATCATTTCCCAAGCAGACTCGCTGCTCAGTGTCTAGCAGCATGTTGTTGGCCATGCCAGGCTGTGGCTTGCAGATCATTAGTGACCTGTGACGCCAGGACACATGATCTCCAGCTGGGCTTCGTACCGCGTCAGAACACTTACCCAAAGCAGCCCTTGTAGGTGGCACATATGGTAGCCCCAGTGCAGGGACTTGGCTTCTCCCTGGCTACAGTGACCTGACGTGACAGGTATGCCCCAGCACGTGGCAGCCTCACAGTCACACAGAAGGAAAACTCTTCCCTAACATGGACCAGGGCTGTAGGAAGCACCTGTGCAAAATCAGATCCTCCCCAGAGATCCTGCCATTCTCACTGCTGTGCTGCCTCTTTCTGCCTTCCAGAAGGGATGTAGTGCTGTAGTATAAAAGCATGTCCAGCATTTAATCCAGCTGCACACACAGAGGCAGTGAGAAAGCTTGTGGCACCCACTGTTCCCCGTACCCCAGCATTTCCACTTCTAAGGGTATCCAGACTTTGTGTTTATCTTTCTCAGATCCTCTCTGTGCATGCCGAGATTTTAATGCCTGGAAGATGTATTGAGGAATGAGCCTCTTAAGTACAGCCACACCTCCTCAGGTATCTCCTGGGTCTCCTGTGGGATCAAGCTCTTTCCTACTTTTGCCACTGGCATAAGGCTGTGCCAGTGGGATGACTGCTGCAAGGATTAAACTAGGGCTAGAATTAGCTCAAGATTTTGATTACTGAGGCCAGGCCTTAAGGAAAGTGGCAGAAATCTAGAAAGGAGGCTGTACCCAAGCAGCACAGTGGGTATCCTGGGCTAGCATGGGCACTGAAGGCATGCTGCACGCCACTGCCCAGCACCCCACTGAGTGGCATAGATGCACCCAAAGCTGAAACCCCAGGAAAGCTGTGCTAGCTTGGTTTTTCCAATGGCCTTTCCAATGGTCTTCCTCTGCAAAAAACCCACACAGATTTCACTTTTTAATTCCTATACAAGGTTTGGAAGGAACGGGGGAGAAGTGATGTTAACAGTAACCCAGAGCCTCAGGCTGGTGTTGTCAAATCCCAGAGGAAAGGAGCCAGGAAAGGGAAAAAGGGAAGTGGGAGGAGAACTGGGGTTCCTGGAATTGTTAGCTACACATACAGGAAAGATAAAATTGCCCTCCCTTGCGCAGTAGCAGAACAACCAGCAATGGAGATGCTTTGCTGTAAACACTGAAAACATGTGTCTTGTTTTAACCCCAGCCGGCAACT